CCACCTAAGGGGGTGACCCTCCTATAGAAAAAGGGTGGCGAACAATTCACTCCACGCTAACGCCACACTGAGCAGTTCTTTCCTCTTCAATCAGCCAGGCTACTCGATCACAGACATAGAACTTATTCCACTTGAACTTCAACCGTACACTTAGTATGTGACGCCGTAAAACAAGAGAAGCACACATATAAATAGAGACAAAACTCTTTCACCAGACGGTATAAACCGCAAGGACGAACATTTAACTGAATCTTATCATTCACTTTATTGTATAAATATTTACCTAGCTATCATGCCATCTATTGTTCTAATTTTTACTTTATCCCGGGGTAATAAGTTCATCTATTTAAATATTTTTTAGTTTTTATGCAGTGCCCTATTGAAAACCACATTATGTGACATAGGCCATCTATAGGCCATAGGCCATCATCCATTATTATTAAAGTCTCGTGTAAATTTAAATTCAAATTTTAGTAGCCGTTTTAGTATTCTTTTTCGGTGTAGCTCTAGCTGGCCCTGAGGAAGCCTAATTTGTTAACCGAAATATTAGCCTTAAATAAATCATCCCTTTGCCGTATTGCCAGCCTTGTATTCAGCTTTTTTTTAGGTTAGGCGGGTCACCGTTCAAGCCGAGCCAGGCCGATTTTTGTTTCCCTTGGAAACGGTTCGCCAAGCCCTCTTTAATAATTACCGTATCTAAGGAAAAGTAGGAACCGTTGGCCACCCATCTGACCCATCTGATCATAGCTCGGGTAGGACCCGGGACAATCGGATTATCCCCTCTTCCTGGCCCTCTTTAAATTCTGTTGTTTGCTTTGTTGTTCTTTTCTTTTAGTATCGTTGTTTTTGTTGTTTTTGTTATTAATTGTTTTTTTTTTCACGGTGAATAGACTCTATTACTTCTTTTATGATAATATTCAATTGTTCCTTTCTTGTCCTTACGGAACTTATATGTTACTTTTTTCATTTGCTTTGGTACTGATTATGTCGAAGACTGAAAGTCAATAAAGTTGTAACTAACCATTTTTTACGGGAAAAAATTTGTGCCCACGCTCCTTTGACAAATTCGAGAACAGAAGAAACTCAAGCCTTGACTGAGCTGTGACTATGAAGAATTAACGTTGTCGAATGACCGGTTCAGTTGCTGAACTGCAGCGTCATACGTACTGTAGACACTAAAAAGCGCACAGAACATTGTGATGTGCGCCCCAGTCTATTTCGTCAAGAAACAACGTAAGAAGGTTAAAACAAATAAATTACCTCCAAACAATTGAAAGTTCTTTCTAAATGACAAAAGGCATTGCAATTTTAACTTTACAGGTGAACTGTTTTATTGTGTTACTGAGCTGTTGCTTTGGTGATGTTTATTCGCTACGCAGGATTCCGCCATTCGACCGCGGACAGTGACGTCACGAACGGGTTACTTCGCCAGAAAGTCATACCTTCGTCTGTAATTTTGTGGTTTTGTCTGCCAGATTTTCGCTAATTTCTGACATATTTAGCAACAATGAGCTGATGCTGGGAATCGCTGCGTTTAAAACGCACATAACCGAAAGGATTTGTTCGAAGTCTGATCAGATTTAGCCCATCACTGGCGTAAATTTATCGGTGTTTACAACGTGATTACTACCTCTTTCAGCGAGGTTTTGACTTCAGGATTGTGGTTTAAACTCAAGTCTCTTACTTTGGATTGGACATTTTTGAGGTTTGATTTTGTAATCTTTTAAAATGAGCGATGCACAAGCTTCTCTAAATCCCGAGGAGGAAAATCCAAACGCTTCTGTTTTGGAGGAGGAAGGTTCAAGCGAGCGTGTTGAGAGAAAATCAAAGGGCAAGAAGAAAACTAAGGGGGCTGCTAAGGCGAGGAAAGAGAGTAAAGTTATCGAAGAAGATGCTGATGAAGATGAAGTTCCCTCTCGTCCAGGGAAGAAAAAGAAAGGAAAGAAGAAAGCGGCTCGGAAAGTGAGTGATACGTCGGAAACCGGAGAGAATTCGATCTTAGATGACACACCGAAAGAAACGGTGATCGAAATTAAGGACGAGAAAGAAGGAGACGCCGAACTACAGGAGATAGTAGTAAAGAAGGAGGAGGCTCAAGTCGAAGGCGATAATGTAGTTGAAGAAGCAGCCGTGCCTGTCGAGGGCAGCGAAGAAGGGAAAAAGGATAACAAGAAAGATGGCGAGGGAGAAGAGCGTAAAGAAACTGTCCCTGACAGCGAGAGACCTGGCGTTCGCAGAAGGGCAACTTTGTCTGATTTAAAAAGTGAGAGTGTTGATAAAGGAGATGAAGAGCAAGCTGCCGACGCAACAGCTGGCTCTGAGGTGAATATTTCTCAATTGTATAACACCCCTTGAAGTGCTTTTATGATTTTTCTCTCACAATTCTGAACAGGAACATTTTCCAATGCTTTCCCTCCTCATCTTAGAATCTACAATATTATTGTAGCCCCTGTTAGGCCTTGTCCTAAGCTGCGTGTCAAAAGTTCGACTGCAGATGGCTGGGTTGTCAACTTGCAGACGCAGGTTCAGGGAAAGATTAGGGTTAGGGTTCATCAGCAGTCCCAGGATGAATGATGAGCCGTTTAAGGGCCTGTTCACCAGGAGGGAGGGTAACCCTGGTTCTTGGGTTAACCTAGCACTCACTCACTAGGGTAACGTCGCTCACTTTTCTTTTTTTATGCGGCGTGTTAACAAGGCAGGTAGGGTTGTCCTGGTGCTAGGATAACCCAAGCACTCGAGTAGGGTTACACTAGCAAGACGGTTACCGTACCTCCCTCGTAAACGCTCTATAACGGATAACTTGCCTACCTGGGACAACTTTGCTTTGTCATGCGTGACCAGTTATCTTGAAATTTCAAAAGGTTGAGTTTGATCGTCCGGGTGAACGTAGTCCTGAATAGGACTGTTGTTGTTGACAGTGACTGATGTTTCGACAACCTGTGCGGTACTCATCTTCAGAGTCAAAGTGAGTTGTATCACGTCAGTTGATGGTATTATTCTCTAAATGAAGAGTATAATACCATCAACTAAATAAAGAGTATAATACCATCAACTGACATGATACAACTCACTTTGACTCTGAAGATGACTACCGCACAGGTTGTCGAAACGTCAGTCACTGTCAACAACAACAGTCCTATTCAGGACTACGTTCACCTGGACAATCAAACTTAACCTTTTGAAATGACTCCTGGGTTCAAACCTTTCACAGTTTTATCTTGAAAATGTTAACAGAGTTATCCAATTTTCGAGTTAAATTTTAAACATGTGAACAATGTTAGGTATTTTCGTTCTGTTTTTTTTGTGAATTCAATGTGGTTTTCATGGAGATCTTCAAGATTTCATTCATGTCTTGAATTTTATGAAGAATGTGTATGTATAGTCTTATGTGGTCACACATGACGCACGCATGTCAGTCAGGCCCGGGTTGCTCGAAGCATGGTTAGTGCTAACCAGCGTTAAATACCATAGCAACCTATACATTTTGATACCTCTTAACCAACGGTTAGCGCTAACCAGGCTTCGAGCAACCGGCCCCAGGTTTGTAATATTGTCCTATCCCCAGTTGTTCAAAAGCTGGGTGCTATCTACCGGATAAATCACTATCCAGTGGGTAGTATTAGGGAAACCAATTGCGCTATCCACGTTTTGAACAACTGGCACCTTGGTAACCCTACGTAATAAATTTTGCTTGCAAACCATCTCGAGTTATCTTTAAGCCACTCACTAGGGTAACCCTAGCACCAGGGTTACCCTCCCTCCTTGTAAACATGCCCTAAGGTGGCTCTAACTTTTGATTCTGTTGATGAAAACTTTTGGTGTAACCATTGAGATGAAACCTCTTTGATATTACTTTCACAATGTCCTTTTTTTTTAGAATTTTACAAAATGAAATTTGGGAATTTTAGTGAATTTTGACTTAGGTCATTTCTGGGAGTGAAAGGGTAAGCTAACGGACCTTATGCCACACCTGCAGTTTACACTTCCCCACTGTTGACTTGAGGGGTTGTTTACACAGAGAGCGGAAGACCCTAGTACCTGGAAGATCCCAGAAGGTGGATCATCCTAGCCAAATATGTTTTCAGTATTGAGTTTACATGCAAAGGGTTGCACTTGTCCCTTGCGCTAGGATATTTCTAGCTGGCAGGTAAAAATATCCTAGCGTAAGGAAGAATCCTAGCACTGGTACCATGTAAACTGCTGTTGTTAGGGCGATCCCGCTACTAGGGACAAACTAGACAAAAATGGCAGCATGTCTTTTCGTGGCAATAAAGGCCAGCTATTTTGTTGGGCTTTACAGAAAATCTGATGGTATAAGTTTTTTAGAGCTGTCAGCTTCTGCTCCTGAAAGATAGTTATGATCTCTAATTAAGAGAGCAGAAGGACCCAAATTGCATGTTTGTTGATATTGCCACCCACAATCTTTAATTTCTTCTCTTACTGGTAACCAAGTGAAGTCAAGATATTGTTTAAGCATTTTTATCACCATTCAGTAGTATTTCAAACTGAACATTAGTTCTGGCAAAATTATTTTGATAGTCTCGTGTAATTCCTTTGGAAACCATACCTTCTTTCAGACCATAATGGGAAAAATCTACGCCCCCTTTAACCTAGACCAAAACAAACCCCAAAACCCTATCCTTTGGGACAGCACATGCCTATAGGGCTTATATACAGTCTTTGTTATTGTTTCAGGACCTTGATTCTGTCAAGGAAGAAGTGAGTATAGAAATAAAGAAAGAATCTGAAACAGCTGAAGATGAAAAAGATACAGATACAAAAGAAACTGCAACCAAAGCAGCTGGTGATGAAACAAGCACAGAACAAAAAGAGGAGGATGCTACTACTGAAGCAGGAAAACCAGCTGAAAGAACAGAGGCTGGTCAAGATGAGAAACCTGAAACTGTTGCTATAGCAATGGACGAGACTGTTGTGCCTGTTGAGGAGGAAGTCAAAACCGAGGCTGCCGAGGGAGGAGAAAGTGTGGTAAAACCTGGGAATACTGAGGGAGGAGAAGACGAGAATGAACATGTTGAACATGTTGTTGTGCCTGTTGAGGAGGAAGTCAAAAGTGAGGCTGCCGAGGGAGGGGAGAGTGTGGTAAAAACTGGGAGTACTGAGGGAGGAGAGGGTGAGCCAAGTCAAGAAGATGCTGTACCAGTCACTATGGAAACTACAGTTACAAATGAAAATGAGACAGGAGAGGATCACTCAAAGTATGATGAGCTTGATGATGAGCTTCCTTGGGCAATGTATCGTTCATTGGACACGCCACCACAAAGGCCACCTGTGGAAGAAGATGATGACTGGCCAGCATCTGATGATGATGGGGATTATGGTAGTTATGTCACTGTTATACATTTACTTTGATATTGTTAAACCTACATTTAAAGGGGCCATGTCACACTAATTGCTATCTTTTTAAAAAGCCAAAACTTGTCGTTGCATCAATTTAATTCCAAATTCCAAATTCCATTCCAACGTTTTCAATTTTTAATCCTTTGCCTGCAAAAAATCACCAAAAACTTACAGTGGTTAGTGCTCCCTGATGAAATTTGTTTGATATCTTCTTCATAATTCTACAGGTCCATTTTGTTTATGGGTTAAAGGCACTAAATAATGACTTCAGAACAGCATTGACCTTAACCCTCTCTCAAAGTCCTACAAGTGTCTGCCATCAATTTTCTCCTTACTGAATCAATACATAATCAAGAGAAATGTTTAGGAGAATTAGCAAAATGATCACCAGACTCAGTGCTCCCTAATTAATGTTTGATATCTTCCTCATACGTGTAACTCTACAGGAGCATTTTTGTGAATGGGTAAAGGCACTAAGTAATGACTTCAGCACAGAATTGAGCACCCAAAACAGCGATAGAGCGATTTCCGTGTGACCTGGAAATGAAAACGCGCAGACAACAAATGAACGGAAATAGAGCCATTTGATAAAAAATATTGGTTTATCGAACTGATAGAAATGCGTGTGCTTTTTGGTTGGTTAAGCGAACGCTCGGATGCAAACACTTCTTCCCCGAGAACGTTCTAGTAATTAACTGATACTTCACTTTGATGTCATACTGCAACACGATTGGCCTATCGAACAATGCCTTCCCCATATTAGGGTTTTCTTCGGTGGGAAAACAAAGAGGCCATATTTTGATCTTTTCATCCATTGGCTGATAAAACAAGTAATGAACACTTACCGAAACCATTTTTCACGGTCATACGAAAATAGCTCTATCCTTGTGACATAGCCGTTTCAACAAACTGTTGGTCAAGGAAATCTGGCCAAATAGGTAATCCATGGGTATGAGATTAGCCAAGTAGGTACCTTATACAGCTGTATATTAGAAGAAACCAACAGACTATTTAAGCCTGTTGTTTAAAATTAGGGGGTTTAATAATGGAGGTTTTTATCACATTGCCTTGCAAACAAACTTTTGCGTCTGGGTAAATTCTTAATAATTTAAAATAAAGTATCAAAACCACACACATGTACTGGATTGGCAGAATGGAATTGGTTGTTTTCACTGATATGTNGAGCCATTTGATAAAAAATATTGGTTTATCGAACTGATAGAAATGCGTGTGCTTTTTGGTTGGTTAAGCGAACGCTCGGATGCAAACACTTCTTCACCGAGAACGTTCTAGTAATTAACTGATACTTTGCTTTGATGTCATACTGCAACACGATTGGCCTATCGAACAATGCCTTCCCCATATTAGGGTTTTCTTCGGTGGGAAAACAAAGAGGCTATATTTTGATATTTTCATCCCTTGGCTGATAAAACAAGTAACAAACACTTACCGAAACCATTTTTCAAGGTCATACGAAAATCGCTCTATCCTTGTGACATAGCCCTTTCAACAAACTGTTGATCAAGGAAATCTGGCCAAATAGGTAATCCATGGGTATGAGATTAGCCAAGTAGGTACCTTATACAGCTGTATATTAGAAGAAACCAACAGAGTATTTAAGCCTGTTGTTTAAAATTAGGGGGTTTTATCACATTGCCTTGCAAACAAACTTTTGCATCTGGGTAAATTCTTAATAATTTAAAATAAAGTATCAAAACCACACACATGTACTGGATTGGCAGAATGGAATTGGTTGTTTTCACTGATATGTATTTATTCTGTGGAAGTCATTGAAGTAATAAGTTATTTTGCAACAGCGAACAGTCAAAAACTGATAAAAGTAAATGGCTTTTTATGCCATTTTTACAATGTGTAGTGTCATTGTTGGAGCACCATAGAAAGTAAAGTGAATTGTAAAAATATATTTTAATTCTCTTATTTAGCCCCACCAAAGAATGATGATCTCCCAGACCTTGATATGCTGATGGGAACCCTAGATGGGGGTGAATCTGAGTTGGAGACGACAACGTCACCACCGCCTCTGATACTTCCTGAGGAAAAACATGCAAAGCAGCGACGGATTGAGGAACTCAAGCAGGGAATTGCTAATGATCCTATTGATCTTTATGATGAGGAATTTGAAAAAAGAATGGAAGATGAAATACTTATGATTGGGAACATTTCATTGGAGATGGTTCAGGTATATATATTTGGGTATCTGTGTTGTGGTTCAATGTTTTCTTTCGTTTGAAATTCATTGAAGAAGTTGAATTTTTCTCTTTATGTGTCAAACAATGTATAGTAATAAATATACTGAAAAACTTTGAAGGGATACAATATGTGATCTGTGATCTTTTCTTTGCTCCTATATTTTCCTCATCCTTCCTTGATTAGCTCAGCTATTTAATTATTAGTGAAGGATATTATAATTACCGGTATGCATGAATAAAACTTGAACTTATAAAAATAGAAGAATAAATTATTAGACATTTTAATGTCTTTTAAAAAAGCACCCTAAAGAAATGCGAAGAATTGGTTACTGATGTTAATATTTTTTGATAGAGTTGTGATGGACAGCTCTGATCATTGTTTCTTGGCAACGCATTCTTACTGATTTTATTCATTCATTTTGCTTGTAAGGATAAATTTTCATAAGCCATGTGTTGATTAAATTTTTTTTTACAGTGTCTATGTAACAGGTCAAAATTATATTGTGGTTCAAAGTTTTGAACCTAGGTTGATTCTCAGTTTCCTTTGTTTCCTTGAATTTCCCTGATTATTCATGAATTAAGGAAATTGACAATCAACCTAGGTTAAAAATTTTAGCCAGTGAATATGATTTTGACCTGTAACATCCGTGTTTCAAATATTATTTTGATTTCTTTCCTTTTTTACTTTAATGTTTTGTCTTTTTTTTTTCTGCAGGAAGAGGAGCGTCGACTGCGGGATGAGCACATAGCATATCAGCAACAACAAGCTAAAGTACAACGTGAAAGGCAGGAAGATTTGTTAATGAGAGAAGCTAAAGCCAAAAAAGAAGTGATGAAGGTGATGAGGGCAAAGAGGAAGCGCCTTCAACAAAGAGAGGTCAGTAAGGGTGGCTAAAATATTGTATGCTCTAAGGTATGTATCGGTAGAAAATCGGTATGTATCGGTAGAAAATATTATCATGACTAAATTTTCCAAAAAATAATAAACAATTTCAGTCAATGGTCAAGCCTGATTTATTTAATGTTCTTTTTGTTCTAAATCATAGGACCTTATGATGCAGCAAGATCGTTTGATCCAAAACAGGATTCACAGAGCATTCCGCAGAGCAGAGGAACAACTGCTGAAATCGCTGACAGCAAGAAAGGGAGAAGTGAAGGTAAGTTTATGTTGTATAAATGTGCTAAATTTCTCAAGAATTGGTGTTGCTGTGATTGTGGGAATCTCGGGGCCTGTGCAGTCGCACCTCGATTATCTGGACTTTTTGATTATCCGCACTTGTTTCCCTGGTCTTGTTCTTTCATGAATATTAATAAGACGTGATATTCAAAAATTGAAACGTTTTAAAGTTCATTAATCCTTCCAAACGTGTGTTAAAAACACTGTTTTAATCTGTTTCGAACACGAGCACTTGAAACAGTAACTTTTTAATTTGTAAATACATAATATATACTGACCATACATAAAATTCAGGTAGGAGCTGATTCACAATTAAATTTTGTTTTCTTTATTTCCTATTTTTACATTATTGTCTTGTTAATATTGATTTTTTCGATTATCCGGACTATTTACTCAAGTCCCAGCAGGTCTGGATAATCGAGGTTCGACTGTACTCATGTATTGTAGGTTTTGGTTTGGTTCAGTTTATGTTTCATGCAGGTCTTCAAGTTTGCACCTCATTTGAGAGCAAATTTCTTTGTCTTTAAAATGTGTCTTCATTTTGAAAATTACTCAATATTCAATAGGGACCTAACTATTCAACAATGTTAGTGCTCCAATTTCAACTTTTTCAAAGTCACCTTTTGGCAACCTAACATTATCAATTAAAATAGTTTTCAATTAAAATAGTTGTAATTGTCAACCGTTTCTAGTTACTTGGATTTTAATTGGTTAATAAGATTACCTTGACTGCTTGTCTGTCCCTAGACAGAAGAAAAAAGTCAGCAGTTGACTTTTTTTTCTTCTCGCACTCAGTCCTTGTTTGTTGCCGTTTGTGGCGTTGCCAATCATTGCTCATGTACATATATTACACGTATCTGTAGAGTAATGTTGAATACAAAAAGAGATGGCTCGTGATCTATGATCATGCGAGTTTGACAGTTATTGTAAAATATAATAATGTGTATTTGTCAGGCTCAACATTGCTACATTTCCTCTCATAACACTATTCCGTATGTGTTTGTCTTTCATTTTCAGGCCATGTATGGTGATTTGATCCTGGCTGATGGTCAGTATGGTGGAAGTAAAGGACGACGCTGGAAAGTGGATTGGAACAGAACTCCACAGCCAATCCAGATTAAACTTAAGTGTTTGAGAGGGGTCAAAGATAAGCTACCAGGTAGGAAACACGTTTGTGTTTTATCTCATTCTTACAGGGGCACTGGATTTTTATTTTGTATTTGTAGCAAGGGACAGCTGTAGCTTTACTTTCCTAAATCATGAACAGAAGTACACAAGCAAATTCAAAATAAGTGGTGAAAGAAAATTTTTTATAAATAAAAAAAAAACGAACAAACAAATAAAAAGAAACCCAGATTAAACTTTAACCCGTGGTTTGCCCTAATGGGCCTTCAAACGATTGGGTCCAGGGGTATAAAATGATTCTGGTTTGGCTATCAATTTATTCTTACATGTAGTAGCCTTTAAAACTTACATGTAGTGACCCAAGGACTATTAAAGCACTGGTTTTACATGTATGCAACCGCTAGGCCAGACCTGCACGTAAGAAAGCTTATGGTGATTTTGCCATACGAGAGGCTCTATTTTAATCACTTTTTTTTTGCTATTCTCACTCCAGCTGGTCGCTATGTTTTGATGGTATCACTGTATGATAGACTGGGTGGCCATGTTCTCAAGTGGTCCAATCTCAAGGGACAGCAGTGGGGTGGAGCTACCTTACCTCTACAGCACGATGGAGAGTTCTTTAACATAGAAGTTAAGGTTGGTGCTGGACAGTTAGAATGTAGGAATTCCAAATACTGTTTCTTCGCAAAAACGCCAGTTCAAGTGTCAGTATACTTTGCAATTTCAGGTGCTTGCCAAAAGTCAGAACTGGCTGGCTAGACTGATCATTTTGATTTAATGAATTAGAATTTTTTTTAGTTTTTTTTCTCCCCCACCCCAAAAAAAAAAACCACCACCACCACCGCCAAAAACCACCACAAAGAGAAATGGCTGTATTCACAGAGTAGCAAAATTCATACAATCATATTATTTGGACTTAATTCTGCTATGGAATTTTGGAAACTTTCTGTTCAAATGGCAGTTATTTGAAAATATACATATAATAATATTTTTCCAATATGATACAACCAAAACAGGAGATTGATATTATGTGTTCTGTGCGAAGAAAACAAATCAGTTTTGAAGATCTCACATTTCCTTGTTTAGGTTACAGACACAGGTGGTGTTGTGATCACTTATTATTTTTATTTTGCTCACTTATTTTTACATGTCTTTTCAGATTGATCAGAGTGTGTTCACAGTGTGTCCATCTAAGCCAGATGTCCGTCCAGGCATGATTCTTGTATTTGAGCTGTTTATTCTGCGGGGGAGTGTCACTCCTACCGACAGGGTGGTAGGGTGGGGCTGTTTCCCCATTTGTGATGGAGAGTTCAACATTGTTGATGGAAAGTAAGCAATAGCCCTTTTTCATTGTATCTTGCAGTTCTCATTTACTCATAGGGTGGGAGTGGGGGAAGGGAGGGAAAGGAGACCTGTTGTATTCCTCACCCCCTCCTCCCACCCAACAGCCTTCTTGTAGGCTTTGTTGTAATTTACATTACAGTCAACTTTCTTTACACATTAAAATCTATTGCGTTTCACTTTTTGTTAACCTAGCCTTGTAGCATATTTGGGACTATATAAATGCACAACTTGGTACAGTATACCTCATGTACGTGTACCTTTTAAATGTTATGCATTCTGTGGTGTATGATTGAGCTCTCTGTTTTTATTTTACCTGAAGAATCACATTTTGGCCAGTTAAGGTTCTGCCAACATGGTACACGTAGTATACATTTTACAGGGCTGTCAATAAGAGGTGGAGACGGGGATTTCCCCTGGCTACTATGAACATGGCCCTTGGCTACTTTCATAGAAAAATAGAACCAAAAGAAATCCCTAGCTCTTTTATTCCCTGCCTACTTGTTGTATTTACCTGGCGACGTGAAATCTTAGTGACAATTCTGTTTTGTTAACAGCACCCTGTTTTGTTGACAGCATCTTGTCTCCAACAATATACTGCATATTCTTTAACAGAGTCTGAGGAGCAAGTGAAATAAATAATTACATGTATATGAGTGTATGTGCCCTCCACGAGGAGACAATGATGTGAGAGTGCTGATTTTCTACACCTCGCTTGTTTTGCTCTTCTATATCTAAAAAGAATAGAACTTGCAGTTTAAATTGAACATACAGTTGAATTTAAGGCTTCAAATGGAATAAAACTATGGTATATATTTCACCTCTTGTGATTCTCTAAAGGATAGGTAGCTGGCCTATGTTGTGCTTCTTACCTTATTGATTATTCTCAACAAACATGAACATACTAGTATTAATCTCTTTGCAGATACAAGGCGCCTTTTCTGAGGGGTGATATGGATCCTCATATCGATAAACATGAGAAAATTGAAGAGCTGATGGCTGATGATCTGGAAAACTGGCTGTGTAATCTTTATTTTGAGATCGTCAAATTGCCCAGGTAGGGAATGTTACAATTCAAGCAGTCTGTTACTCTGTTTTTTAATACTTTACAAGGTGGCTCTAACCTAACATTTAAATTATTCTATGGACAAGACCCTTTGGTGTGACCACAAAAATCAAAGTTAATGAGCAGTACTTTCCTATGGAGGTGAAATTATGCTGTATAAGGTGTTTCTAAAGAAATTCTTAAGTGTGCACTCAAACGGAAGCTATTGAGCAGTACTTTTCTGCGGTGCTGTTTATCTTCCGGTACAAAGTAGTTCCATTAATTCTTGTAGGTCTATGAGTGAACTTCTGATGTTTGCCCATTCAGTTGAAGAGCTACTTAGGAGTTTATTTTGCCCTACAGCGTGGGTTCAACTTTTGAACTTGTGAACGAAGTTCTTGTTTGATCTCTCAAAATGAACGCCACTACGTAGAATTTCCATTTTGAACGCCAGGTTTTTCCTAAAAAAATGTTCGAATTTTTCCACTCTGTGCAGGTACATGGCTGGTCAAAAGGAGTATGAAGTTGAACTGCAGTTTACATCAGGAATTCTCAGCTACCCATCGCGCACGAACATCGATGAAGAAAACATTGACGGAGAAGAACCCATCTTTGGGTCACGGATAGACCTCAAGTCGCCCTCTCCCTCTAGCAGCCGACGAGGCAGTAGGATCAGTATGATGGGGTGAGTTGTTTACCCTAGGATACTCCTGACAACCCCTGGGATACTTTTAAGTACCGTGTAGTAGTCTTTATACCCTAGGGGTACTCCTTATGCCATAGATCACTCTTATAACCCTAAGGGCACAAATCATAACTTTAAATCACCCTCTCCTTGAAGCAGCGAATGAGGGAGCAGGATCAGTCTAAAAGGGTAAGTTATTTACCCCGGGATACTTCTGACAACCCCTGGGATACTTTTGATTATGTTGGAGTAGCCTTTGTTCCCTAGGGGTGCTCTTTATACCATAGAGGCGCTACTTGTGACCCTAAGGGTTCTGCCCATAACCTATGTTGTAAGGCTGGATTACCAGCTGCTATTCAGGGAATGAGCCCGCCCTTATGCCCCGAATAGGACCGAGGGAACGGCGGAAATGGAGCCTACTATGTTCTCGACTAAACTGTAAAGGCGGTCAGTTACTCGAGTTAGAAGCCACCATGGGGAGTCTTAATTATATATGATCCTGTATATTTTTAGCATGCAAAGCACCAGTCAATACATAATAAGGTATTTCTATTTACATTGTTGAGGTTTTATTGCAAGACACGAAGTTTTATTGAATTTGTGATCCATCTTATGATTATATTGGCACCTGCCGTGACACAAATGAAAATGTGAGAAAAGGATCACTTACCACAAATAAAACACAGTTAAACAAAGTAAATTTACTACCATGATTCACAGTTGTTGCCGTTGTCGACGACAATTAAATTTGTATTTAACTATTTTTTTGGCGTGTATTAAGGTCCAGTTTCTTTGGAAGCTCAGCGCATATTGAATCGGCCGTGGAAGAGAAGGAGGGCATGGGTTCTAGCCACAATCTCCAGGTTGAGGTCCCTGAGATGAGAAGAACTGTAAGTGATAAACTGTAGTTTTCACCTTAAATTCTTGTACTGACTGTACTTCAATTTAAAACGCGAGATAGTAAATACATTTAACGAGCATTTAAGCAAAAAAACAGCCCTTCTTATTCAGATATGAACTAAATGTGTATTCTTGATGTAGTTATAGTTAGATGAAAGTGGAAATAATATTTCATTGGCATATACAGTGTAGGAGCCAACAATTAGATGGAATTAGTATAGGTGATAGCATGATTTGTAGTGATATTTGGCATAAATACCACGAGTGATATTTCAAAATTGTTATACGAAATTTCCCGAGCCGTTAGGCAAGTGAAATTTGAGACAATTTTGAAATATCACAAGTGGTATTTATGCCAAATATCACATACAAATCATGCTATTATTTGTTTATACTACTATCCGCAAAAGGTTTGTAATTTTCACATGTAAGTATTTCAAATTAAGGTGAAATACCACTGCTCTAAGCCAATCAAATTGCAGAAATTTCTCATGCAGTAGTATAAATTTTCTTGTCCTTCCTATGCGCGAATGCAGGTTAGAGTACTACGTATTACGGTGACTGGGGCGTCTTGAACAAAACGAAACGAAACAATCAGACTGTATAAGGCGAACTTTTAAAACCAAGGCAACCAAAAAATTTCAGCCAATCAGCTCGTAGAATTAATAGTTGACTCGAAAGATTTCAGTCGTAATTAATTTTTCGCTTCTTTTTGTCTTTTTGCGTTGAATTTGCCACAGTTATTCTCTACATGTTAAACTTTTTTTCTTACAAGCTGAATGCATATGTTTTCAGTCTCTTGCCGTCCCCGACCCAATGTTACGTCAGCGCCGTTCATCCGCCTCGTCACGCCGGTTGTCACGCCCCGTGACTACGCACACGTCACGCAGGGCAGCGGAAATGGATGCCTCTAGTGATGGTAGCGGGACTGATTACTCTGACGATGAAGTGCTTATGTTAAAGAAAGACGATGGATTTAGGCCAGTCAAGGGTCAACCTGGCATGTACTATAAGGTTTGTATCAGCATCTCAGTCGGGATCTTGTTTACATTGATAAACTAAACATAGAGTACGATTTGTCCCTTAGTTTTAAGAGAACACAGTAAAATGAGCGAAATACGTGAACTCATGAACAATCGAGAAGAGACGTGACGCGCGAGTTTCTATTTTCCGCCCTTCACGTGTTTTGCCTGTCTATTAAAAAGCAAAAGAACAAGAACAAGAACAGCTTCAAGAAACACGGGCACCCAACGTCAATTTTCGGAAAATATCTGTTCGGAAGACGATTTGAGATCTAGAATTTTCAGAACATTTGTTGTAAAATTTCTTGCTTGCCTGTCTCTCCTAGGATTTTCGAACATCAAAAAAAGGTATCAATGTTGTCAAACTAGTTTTTTGAGTGCGAGTATCTAACTGTATCCAAGCAACATGCAGCGCATGCTCAACAGAGATCGTACTCGATTCATGCAGTAAGTGCTGTTAGCCAAAACCAATCAAGCGAAAGAAAGGTTCTGAGTGCAGGGTAGGTGCCATTTCGAGCATTTTGAAATAGGCCATTTGCATGATGACGTCATTTTACTACTACGACCAGAATCCTTCAGGGGTTTGCTTTCTTGTGCAAATTATTCAAACCTCGCTGGGATTACCAAATTTGAGTGTGAAAGGAAAAACGAAAAGGATTCTGGTCGTAGTAGTAAAATGGCGCCATCGTGCAAATGGCCAATTTCAAAGTCAAAACCTAACGAATAGTTGTGTCATAGGTCATAAACCTGTCCTTTTGTTTTGTTAACTTAAAAAACTGAAGGTTTTGTCCTGTTACGTCCAAGAGAATTAATTCTCCGACCTAGAATGTAAACATGGCAAACTGACATCGGCTTTTCTAACATGGTAATAAGCCGGAGTTTCAAAAAAACGGGTCTCTGAACCCTATCAGTTGGCCGGTAATTTGAAGAAGAATTACTTTTCTATTTCAGAAACATTTGAACAACCCAGTAGATGTCCACGCTAAGAAAATGTTCACCATGCTTCCAAAAACACCACTTATGACGCGAAAGAAGAAGCGGAAGAAGTTGACCCATTTGGAAGAACTGGAAGAACATACTTTCACAGTACAGTAAGTAACGCTTGCTAGTTTGGCGATAAGATAAAGACGGCGGCCTCCCGAAGAAGAAGCGGGAAACTCATTTGCTAAGTCTAGAACAAAAACTTGAAGAAAAATTAAAAGCTTTAAAGGATGTATCCTATTTTTATCTTTAGGGGACCTGAGAGCAACGTCAACAGTAAAATATTCACTTGTTTATAAACAAGACTTTAGTTCCTGTTCTTCGCGGTTATTCCAACCTTACTTTGTAGCCCAATTATCTTGAAAATGAACTGTTAAGCTTTGAATTTTACAAAGGCAACGAGAATTTTACTGACTCTGCCTTAAAACCTAGAGTTAAACATTTCACGTTATTGTTCTCCAACGCTGCGCGTGTCCAGAGAACGTGCAAAGGGATTGTTATAACTCATCAAACATGTGGCTTTCACGCTACCAATTCTTTTACTGCCGCCGTTTGGGACACTCATGCTCCTTTTCTTCAACTACAGGCCTCCATGGTCGAATAAAGGACACATCCCCCGCTATGACCGAGAGAAGATGCAGTATGTAGGCCGTCAGCTCATGGCTGAACTAGGCCTATCTCAGTGGCGGTCTCGGGAGTTCTGGGCCATGCTACTGTTGATTGCCTTCACTTGGTGGCTGAGACTATACGCTCACTACGGAGGACAGTGGGTCTACCTTCAGGCACTCGCCGTTCCTGTTAGCAAGTAAGTAGCAGTCATTAATAAATGGAAAAAGTTTTTTTTTTTTTTTGCATTTGGCAACCGTGCCTGGTTTTCCACTTTTGGCGATTTTATGTTTTCCCCCTCTCAACATGAGTTTCATGTTTTGGGCACTTGACAGCAGCTTCAGGTTTTCTTGCGCTTTCTACGAAGTTTTCTCGCGCTCGACAGCCGTTTCGTGTTTTCCACTGTTGGCACGAGTTGGCACTGAGTTTATATTTTCCCGCTCTTCGCACACGTTTCACGTTTCCCGCGCTTGACAGCAGTTTTAAGTTTTCCCGCGCGTTTCAACAAGTTCTTGCACGCTTGCAGCCGTTTCGTCTTTTCCCGCCCTCATTACTGGCTTCATTATTTCTGCTGTCCTCACTAGCGCACTTGTTTATTACGCAGCCGTCATTTGTGTTGTCACGCAACGCTGCTGCCCTTACAGCCCCCCAAAAGGAGAGGAACATTGTCGTGACGAGACAAGTAGCGGGTTTTTAAAGACTTTAATACGGCGCATAGGATTCCTATGATTTTTTTTTTCAGCGGGCCTTAGTTCTTGTCATTTCGCCACCTGTTCATCTCTTGTCCATCTCTTGGCCAGCTAATCTTTTTTCATCTTCACATCTTTACTGATTTATTTTGTTTTAATCTTTGCAACCACAGATACGATTTTTTGGCGTACACGGTGACTCTCAACTACCAAAGCACGTTACTGAAGACACGTGAAGAGATCAGTATGGTGGTATTAGGACCGTTCACTAATATCATCATATTCTGTTTGACTGTAATATTTTCCTGGATTCTACAGCGGTTGTACGGTACCTCTCCTAACATCTTCTCACGGTTTATCATGGCCTATGGAATCAACGTCTTATTGGATCCGATATGGATCTTGATTGTGGATTCCGCCCTCATGAGGTATGATGTAGCCTGAGTATTTTCTCTTGTCCCCCTCCCCCCTCCCCCATCAAACATCTCCTCTCCCCTATCCCCTTAGGAAGGCCTGATACTCAGGCTAGGTATGACGCTTTAAGGTGACCTTTTTTAAAGAAACTTTTTAACCGAAGGTTTTAAAGCAGCCCGCGAAAGCAGGCAGATTAAATGGTGGACAGCTAAATATACTTGTATACGCTAGCAGGCTGCAAAGATTAAGCGAGAGAAACTTTTTTATGAGTTAAAAAAAAAGGCAGTCAGTTTATTTTTTATACAAGACTGGACAGGTCGATGGAATATATTTTGCGCAGGAAACTGTTTTAAAGAGTATTGAATCTCCTTATATTTAGTTTGCTTTCAAACAGTGGAAGATCAATGTGATAGAGTAAATCGTCGAACAGGTTTTTGTAAAAGCTCAATACTCATTCTACGAAGAAAAAGTATTTTTTCTTTCTTTCTTTCTTTTTTTTTTTAAAGCGGTACCCATGTTTCATTCGACAGGCTTCAGAAATATTTCGTACTGTTTTTGCTGGCAACAATTCACTCTCCTATGTCTACCAGACGTGTTGAAGCCTCTTTATACATTGTTTCAAAGATAACTGCTTATAAAAAGAAAGGCTCATCATTGGCATGAGAATTAATAANTCATGAGGTATGATGTAGCCTGAGTATTTTCTCTTGTCCCCCTCCCCCCTCCCCCATCAAACATCTCCTCTCCCCTATCCCCTTAGGAAGGCCTGATACTCAGGCTAGGTATGACGCTTTAAGGTGACCTTTTTTAAAGAAACTTTTTAACCGAAGGTTTTAAAGCAGCCCGCGAAAGCAGGCAGATTAAATGGTGGACAGCTAAATATACTTGTATACGCTAGCAGGCTGCAAAGATTAAGCGAGAGAAACTTTTTTATGAGTTTAAAAAAAAAAAGGCAGTCAGTTTATTTTTTATACAAGACTGGACAGGTCGATGGAATATATTTTGCGCAGGAAACTGTTTTAAAGAGTATTGAATCTCCTTATATTTAGTTTGCTTTCAAACAGTGGAAGATCAATGTGATAGAGTAAATCGTCGAACAGGTTTTTGTAAAAGCTCAATACTCATTCTACGAAGAAAAAGTATTTTTTCTTTCTTTCTTTTTTTTTTTTTAAAGCGGTACCCATGTTTCATTCGACAGGCTTCAGAAATGTTTCGTACTGTTTTTGCTGGCAACAATTCACTCTCCTATGTCTACCAGACGTGTTGAAGCCTCTTTATACATTGTTTCAAAGATAACTGCTTATAAAAAGAAAGGCTCATCATTGGCATGAGAATTAATAAAATGATTAGCAAGGGAAAAATGCTGTGATCTTTTAAAAATTATCTCATCTAGTTAGTCCTCTAAAACCTCTTTATACAATGTTTTAAAGAAATCGATATTTTCAACTACTTGTCTAGTCGGAATAAGTCCCCAAGATCGAGTGACAAACATCAGTTCTCCCCAAAGTAACAATATCAATACACAATCAAGATAAAAAGTCGCGAGAATTTATAAAATGATCACCAAGGGTATAGTGCTTTGATCTTTTAATAAATTCTCCCATCTAATTCTTTAAGGTAATATTGAGATCAGTCTAGAGAATTTGTACGTTGATATTCGAGCTTTAAGGGTTTAAACGTTTCTTTGTCATAGGTATGTGAACGTGGGAGGAGATGTGCCAATAGGAGATGCCTTCAAACTCTACTGGCATTTTATCCGCTTTGAGAACAACGGAGCTGTGGGAATAGTTTTGACAGTGTTTCTCTACATTGTTACCATTTTCACCTCCTCTGTCGTCATCTACTTTTACTTCCTGCGAATTCATAACAACGGTCGCCTCATGGACGTTTACCACCGTCTCCACGCGCGCGAAGATGAGTTTTTCATTCCTTACGATCTGGAGATATCAAACGTGGAGCTAAGTTACATATCTAAGAAAGCAGAGCAGTACCGCGGGGAGGAGGGAGAGAGGAGAAAAACTGCTGTGTATGACTACATTTGGGAAGAAGAACAGGTAAAATTTGTTCTCTTTGCTTCTGTGGATATGTTTTGTGCGTGCTTTGTATTTTGTTAGATTTGTATCGGCTGAACGGTTACAAAATTTTCCCGCGTAAACCTGGTTGAGCAGCGCGGTAAAGAACTGCTTTGAAGTTATGCTGTAAGACAATGGTCAGAATCAAAAGTTTTCATTGGTTTGTGCTTAATCAGTCTAATCCAGTCCTGCTCTTTACAGATTGACGAGTCAGACATGGGTACCTCGGACCGCAAGAAGACTGGGCACCGTGAAATCACTACACACGTGTCCATACACACGATTCACCTGGATGGATTGCGGGAATTGTATAGGCACTTCCTTAGGCTGCCTGATGGTGCTGTTGTAGAGGTCAGTATTCTACGCAGTTGGTTGGAGTGCCTCGACATGAGTCCATCGCATTGGTGAATCGGGATCTTTACATAAGGGTGGGGTGGTGTGTAGAGCCCTCATCAATTTCACGTTTTGTCGAGGACGGGAACATAAGTCAACTTTTTTTTTTCTTGAACTTTGATACAGTCCTTTAGAATTCAGCTCCAAAAAACTTTGCCAACATTTGACGAATTAAACGAGATGGAATAAGTGTGATTAAGTTTGAGGCAGCGTGAATTCACTTTTAACTGACGTTTTCGTTGTCGTCGCCGTCGTCTTTGCTTAAGCTTCCTAATGTTCCTCAACCTCATCCCCAGGGCTTTGAATGTTCATTTATCCTTTCTTGCCTATCTATAGGTGTTTGGAGAAATGGGTGTGGTGGGAATGGATGAGAGTATCAAACAGGCTCTCATTAAAGGAACTACGTACCAGTCCATGGACAGCGCCAGAGGCTCACGGGCGAGTATACGAGGGAGGTCCCGGACCGGGTCAGGAATTAGCGAGTCATCACTTCGTAGGCCTTCAGTTATGCTAGAAGTTCCCAAGACTTCGCGGGCACCCTCACCAGTGTAGGAAAGAGGCGAGCCCGCCTTGCGAAACGTAAATGTATCAAGCACGATCGAGGCATTTTCTGGCAAAGGAAAATTGAGTCACTGGAATTTGAAATTAGTTTTTAGATGTAGGTTACTGTCATGGGAATTCTTGGAATTCTTTCTTACAACCTTAAGTAAATATTTGTTAACTTGGGCTATAGGGTACCTGCTCCCCTAACCCAACGTTAACAAGAACTTCTCACTTAGGACAAAATGTTGGGTTAAGGGAGGAGTGGGTGGGCGTTTTTCATTTGCGCAGATCAGTGTAAAATTCAAGGAATCTTGCCCACCTACCCCTCCCCCAATTCAACGTTAATACTAATTTCTCACTTAGGGTTTGTAGATTTAATTATAGAACCTGAGGAAGTAGGCTAACTTCAATCCTTTTCTTGCTCATCAGTGGGTAAATGCATCCGTAAATTGTTTCATTCTTAAGTATTTATGAAGCAATCCATTACAGAGTTGAACTTTTTACATAATTTTCATTGTTGCAAATACAACTTTATTCTTTATTTCTTTCTGTCTACTTGGGTCATTGGTCTTGATACAACAAGAGATTCTCGCATCAGTCGTACAGAATTAGTCAGTAAGGAAAATAGCCACCTTTATGAGTTATTATGGCCATCGCCAGTGCGTGATCTTTCACGAGTCTTTGGTTCAGAATAAACTTGAATTAAGTTTTAGGTTTGTTTTCTTACTGACTTTTACACTTTGTCCATTCAGTGAAGGAGATTTGCATTTTAGTCAAGACTATTATTCCTAAGATTTTCTTGCCGGACAAGACTTCTTTGTAAATATTTTTGCTTAACTATTGAAACTATAGGTAATGGTTTTTAACAAATCCAAGAACCTTTTCACGTATATTTATTTTTAACCTAGTTAGTGCCATCTTAAAAGTGGTACCGTAGCTTCATTTATCTTTTACATTTTTTGTGAACATTCATGCACGGTTGGTTACACATGCGCTACTACGACGTTTGTAATGTACTTATTTTAACCCTTTCAATCTTTTAGACTACAGCAATCACGATGTAGGTTATTTATTGATTCTACCAGAGAACGCAAGTAACGTAACGTAACGTAAGTAACGTAAAGTAAGAACACATTTCTGGTTCACCTGAAATGTGTTGTAGTCAATAGCCTCTTTGAACTGGATGTCTATTTTATATACTACGAAGGAATAATTTTGTAATAAATAATTATTGCAGCAGCTCAGAATTTCTTGGTGCTGGTTTTGCTTTTGCTGACCTCCATGGCCCCTGTCCTCCTTAACTCCCTCTTGATGGGAAGACATCTCTTTCAAACTTAAGTTATTAAAATTATGAATACTCGCAAGCGTGTAGCCTGCGTGGCAGGCATTAAAAGGGGAAGCGGGAATTTGGGCGCGCGAGGGAGAAAGAAAAGGAACCTCCTCCCTTCTCCCCCGCGGGCGGTCTCGCGCCCTAATTCCCTTCCCCTTCCCTTTCGAACGCCTGCCACGCAGGCTAGCAAGCGTGCGACATTGATAGATGGAACATGACTTTTCGGGTCATTTCAGTGGCAAATTTCCGGGAGCAACGGAACGTTTGAAAAGGAAGTCCTGTTTTCCCGGTCGGAATTTTCCAATGGGAAATAGGCCACTTCAGAGTTCCAGAAATCCTCACTTTCAAAATGAGGTCAAGTGAACAACCTTTCTTATGAAAATGAGTGTTATTTGCATGAAAATGAAAAATCCCCTGGAAAAATCATTTTTATATCAGAGGCTGAGCATTTAACCTCGTTTTGATACGGAGACCCGGTGGAACCCGGAAGTGGCTTTTCCACTTCTTGAAACCCATCTTTGATAGGCCTTCGCGGCCGGTTTTTAGCAAATGGAGCCAAGTGAGGATAATGGAACAGAGAAGTTATTTTTCGAGGTTGTAATTCAATGGAAGCCTAATTCCTGAGACGTTTGCAAATTTTAATCGATTGTTTGAAATGACTTTAAGTCCACGCGCGACTGGTTCAAAGCAAAAAGTGCAGAATATTGTGATGGCGATTGACGAATTCTCTGTTGAAAACACTGAATATATGTTTGCATACCTCTCCGGAAAAAAAGTTCCCAATCATTCAAAAAATAAAGTAACTCAGTTTGGTGAAATTCACATGTAATCTCTTGAGGGAACTCAGTTTGAACAAATGGTAAACACGACTCCGGGACGAATTGTGCCAGTCCTGAAGTTTGCATACCATTTTTCCCGACCGTGAACCAGGGTGATGCTCGATATGCCAGGCCAATATATTCACTATCGTATCGTTCTATTGTGTGAAGTTTATTGTGTTATTGTGTAAGGGCTAGGGATCATTGTTGTGTTCTTTGTGACGCAACTCGAAACTTGCTATTCGCTTGGTATATTTCCACCAGCCGTGAACCGACCGGTTTGTCCACACAAATAGTAAGCTAATGGTAAAAAACCAACGAAGCACACAAGGGCTTCTTCTACGGATCAGGCACACTCGGTCGTACATCGGTCTCTCGACTACCGCTCCGGAAAATAATCCGGAAAATCAAACACGGTGAGTTAAAATCTGAGTTTATTTTCTGTTTAATATCATATGAATATAAACAGGGGTCTTTTTTGCATGAGCATGCGCGACCGCTGAACAAGCGATGTGCATGGAGGCTCACCACAGGGTTTGCCTTCATCAAAATGGCGCGTCTCAAAGCTATCATACCGATTATTTTGCTCGTTGGTCTTGGCGAATGTGCTCGTGATTTAACAAAATGTGTAGTTTGCAAAAAAAACTCTAACATGGTCTTAACAAAAGCGAAGTAGACCGGCTTTAACATACACGAGCTACTATCAAATTTCATCTCCCCATTTGACCTGGACAACAGCGCGCGAATATGTAGTGCCTGGAGGATTGCGCTGGCCTCATCAAAGTCTAAACAAAGTGCAGCAATGTTTGTTGATGCAAGTAAAAACTTTGAGTTTTCTTTGTTTTGAAATCGGAAAGGAAGAGAAATATTAAAAACAAAAACAAAAAAATTCAGCGAGTGGGTTCGAAGTGCGCGAAAACCGATGTTCAGTTCAGCAGTGAATTAATATATGTTCTACAATTTTCCCAGCACTTTAAAGCTACAAAATTAAGAGCACACGAGACGTAGATTAGTCACCTGGTGAGATGTTGGTGGTAGTCACTCTGTATGTCTCGAACAATAAAAAAAATGAATATCAATGAGACACAGTCAAAACTGCATTCAATAGGACCGAAATTAAAGTCCAATATTGTGACCGATTTTGATGAAACAAACGGTTAGGTTTCCAAAGAGGTACAGTAAACATGTGATGCCGACCAAAAGTTAAAAATCATTAGAACATTTAAGTTCTGGCTAAAAGCAAATTTCTGTAAAAGATGCGTTACAATGTTAGTCCACGCAAGAACAAGAAGTTCTACAATTTTCCTATAAACAAACTTTGTATCGCTAAAATACCTAAGGCAAAAACTTTCTATTTCAACTGAAAACGGCGTGGTAGTCGCCCGCTGATCGTTATTAATCCACTCCCGAAATATGGCTAAATCAGCTATTAACAAATAATTGACAGAATTCCTCTACGGCATCGAGAAACTGATTTACATCCGATTTATAGACAAACACTAAATAAAGAACATTTTGCTCAGTAGCTACGCATCAGCAATGCATTCTATGCCAAACTTTGCGGTTCGTAAAGGGGAATCAAGACACGAGTCGAGCGCCAAACAACAACAAGCAGCCATGTTCGTGTCAGACATCCTTGAGTAACTTGCTCTTTCACCTCGTTCAGCGCATCAGTCTCCACTTTAAATCAACAGATCTTTACTTATTTTGTACAACGAAGGTCTTTCCTAAGTTCCTGCTACCATTTCAATCTCTAGCAAGCTTTCAAAGTGAACAATTTGGTTCCTATGACTATGCAGCACTGTCGCTGTCACTGGTCGCGTGCTCTTTGACAAGTCAGCGGTCGCGCATGCTCATGCAAAAAAGACCCCTGTTATGAATATATACTTTGAATAAATTTGACTGATTACATTTTAAATAGCTTACTTTAAAGTATATAAGGTTTCAAACTGACGAACGTTCTGACACAAGACTACTTCATTGAGGCAGCAGCAAGAGACATCTTCGACCCTTATCTTTAGCCAGATTTCTGGAACAAAAACAAAAGTACAGGAAGAATAGGAATAACAAGAGTGACTAATTTACAATGATTGTCTGGTTTTTGTCATTTTCGTCATTTTAATGACAAAAATCAGGTACACATTACATTTTAACTGCAAAAGTCACAAAAGAGTGAGGAATTCGCTGTCAGTGCGAGTCTCAGGTCTAGAAATAGTAACACTGCGCTATAGAGCGTTTAAACATGACGTCATGTCCGCCATATTGGTGCTCCAAAACAATGAAACGGCGGCCATGTTGGTCTTCCCGAGCCAGTTCTGTAAGAGCTGAACTTTTTTGTACATGTCATGCTTTCTGCGTAGAGACATTTACGCGGTAACTGGCCCTGTCGAGGTGCCATCAGTGACGGATCCAGGGGAGGGGCCGGGGCCGCCCCCCCCCCTTATGTGAAGGTCTGGATCTGCCACTGGCCATGATAAATTTTAATGTCCCCTTTAATTGCCGAATGTTTTTCTTGCTCCTCCAGGGAACACGTTAAGCGGCCACAAAAAGTCGTGGCAACATTGTTTCTCTTATGTAGTAGCCAGTAAAGCTGTCAAAAAGGAAGGGTACTCTATATCTATGAGTAAAATCAAATTAATTAATTTTCTTTTGTATCTTATCCTCCATTTGGGAGAGACACCGGATAGGTGCCCGGCCTGGCAGACCGGTGACTTGTCGATCCTGATATTTAGATTCAGCAAAACCTTAATTCGGAGCCACTGTTAAACACTACTAATTTAGATGAAAAAATCAACTTGTTACTATTTTAATATAAGGACATACCTCTGATGACAGAAAATTGAAAAAAAAAAAAGGAACCTGCGGCTCCGTGATCCAAAGAAAGATATCACCTGGTCATCAGATGCCCAATTTTGAATTTAAGTGGAGTGCGTTTATCACTCTATAAAAAAGTAAGTATTGTTTTCTCTTTTCAATATGGCTGCTTTGAACGTCCCGTTAAGTTTGAAATTTCAGATCGGCCCACATGAGTCAGAGCAGACGGATGGACGGACGGTCGGCCGCACAGTCCCCCGGCAAAACCAAAATTTTTCGCATTGAACGGAAGGTAGGTTATTAGATTTACTTACAAAGAGGGCTCCGTTTGCGAGTGGAGCTCCGCTATAAAAACAAGATATAGTTATAAAGATATTTGACCAACACTTACCACCCCAACTTCCGAGTGATAAAGTCTTGCAGCTCAATCAGACGTCCTAGAAAGAAATGGATTATTTGCGTTAATTATGCAAGAGATCCTGACACAGTCGATGATATAATGGGTGTTTTTACTCTATCTTGCCTTAGGTTTACACAATTCTTTATCTTCCTTTGTATCTCTCTGTTTTTTTTCCTGATAATTTGCTCTGAAGGTTATTAACATGGGCCGAGTTGTTCAAAACTGGGTTAAGATAACCCAGGGTTAGTGCGAGATTTGAATTCAGATTTGAAAGCTTAAGAAGCTTTTCAGTTTTAATGATTGGAAGCTCTAAAAATAACAGAGAAAATTATCCGAGAAAATGCTTTTGAAAACAAGAAAAAGAAACCCGGTTTAAATTTAATCCTGGGTTAAGCGCTAATCGGCCTTCGAACAACTGGGCCCAGCCTAGATTAGAATAATCCAGTTTCGAGCTCGCTATGACTGCTGAATCAAAGAAGTGAAGACGCATTTGTACAGGCTTAGCCTCCATCTGAAGTAATATATCCACAAAATCCAGCGAGGAAAAGACCTGTTTATTACTCTGTCTATTGTGTATATTCAAATTTCAAACACTTACTTGCCGGAATTTTTGAATATTTTACTTAATGTCGAGGCTAACCCCGTACGAATGTGTCTTT